CAGTTGTTGGAGCCGTAATTCTCAGTGCTTTCCGATAACTCACCGGTCTAGCTTTTCCTTCGTTTCTTTTAGTTGCCTCCTCTTTCTGTCCTTCTCGTTTGGTCGGCCAACTGACCAATAAAGTGCCAAATAAAATGTATGCTTGCTTGTTTAGAGTGATAATTTGTTGTGGAAAAATGAGAAGAATGTATGCAATTTTTTAGTTTTGTTTAAAAGCAATAGAATTCTCATCTAGAAAAATTCAACTGTTATTATACTCTATATAGAGAATGACTATGAAATGTTTTGTTTTGGCTCAGCTTTGTTTCACTTCCACGTTTTCTAATTATTGATTGAAGGAATCGAGGACGTTAGATATGGAGGATGAAAGGATATCTGATGGAAAGTGGAGAAGAGAAGAGAGATTGGTTATATTTTCTGGTTTCTACTAATGAAAAAACTGTAATACTTTATATAAAAAAGCAGTAATTATCTCTTTTCATCGCATTTGAAGTGAAAATTATTAAAAGCAACTGAATATTGGAACGAAAAGAATTCCGTAGAAAGTTAAACATCTAATAATTGATGACGAGAGCGGGGGAATTCCCCTTTAAGGCATTTATGCAATCCGTTCGTTAAGTTTAAGCTTTACTGTTTGGTAAAACTCATTAATTACATTCAATGCTTTTTCAGTTTCAGTACGAAGCTTCAAATGCTTGTCAGTTCTTTTGTATATGAGACAAGACTTGATAATAAGAGATCAAATAATATATATTTTTCCAGTCAAATAACATATTTCAAAAAAAAAAGTGAAGTAACATAGATTATAGGTTACGAAGAATAAAAAAGTTTGCACATCTTTACTCAAATCAGGTAGAGAAGAACTGTTTAATGCTGATGGAATAAGTATTACAGGAACGCAGCTTAAACATCTTTAACTTTGCAAAAAAGTAGGGCAATGATCACATAAACTGTTCCTGAATTAATTACAAATTTTCATAAGATCGATTGTACATGCGTGTGCAGTTGATCAAATCTTAATATAATTAATACAGCAGATCTTGTGATTTGAAGTTAAAATAACAATTTTAACACAATCAACAATAGATCTCATATTTTGCTTATCGTACTGAAAAATTTAGTGTGAGAATAATATTGCATATCTCGTTTGGATAAGTTAAATATGTTTCATAACATGCTTTACATTGTATACTATAATTGAAAATTTTGATTAGCAAACAAATTTTAAAATGTTTCAAATTTTTTGTTATCCATAATTATTGAAATTACTTTTGATCACTATGAAATAAGTAACATTGTTAGAAACGGCTAAATTGGAAATGTATGAAACTATAAAAAACAAATTAATATTTAATTTTCTAAAAAAACAAGGAGAAAAGCAAAGAAATAATTTAAGTTTTTAAAGAAATTGGATTAAAGAGCCTTTTTCAGTCATCACATTTTGAAATTGAAGATATGCAGAAAATCCAGAATACTACAGAAATATAATATACCTCGCTCAGTAGAAGAAAATTTAAGACTCTATATTCAACTCTCGACACAACTTTACAATTTCATTATAGGATTATGCCAACTTTTCAATGCAATATTTTCAGATGATGAAAACTCAACGCAGAAGCAATATTTTTCAAATTCATTTTGCTTAACTTTAAGTTTTATTTGAAATTACTTCGAACAATGTAGTTTCCATATTAAGATAATAAAAATAACTTCGAGAATGGAATTATTGACTAAACTAATTGAGTTTCAAAAAGAGAAGTCATTAAGCTATCGAAAATGAACATTTAAGGAAAATTAGTCTATAAATAAATATTTCTATAATGGCGACCCAATCAGCAATAAATCCTCAATAAAGGTTATATTATGAGACACTTATTGAACCATAGTGTTAATACATGATTTAGTCATTAATTCGTATTTATTGATTCGAATATAATTAATAATGTGTGTACAAATAATGACATAAAACTGTTTTTGTGACGAAACATACGTTTATGATTTAACTTTATGTTATCTTTCCCTAATAACATTATTCTGAATGTAATTTTAATAATTTTAGGTAAGTGAAATTCGAAATAATCTCGCCGAAATCGAGATTGAATACCTAAAAAACTACGCATGCGTCCATTTCAATTTAATGAAATAGCTACTTCCTGATACTATGTTACTATTCATAACAATTTTGATTAATACTGCTGCTTTAACTACATCCATAGCACACACACACACACACACACACACACACCTGTACACTTCACTGACCCGTAAAGATAAAGTAAGGAAATTTATTACTTACCGTATAAGAATATAACATTTGTAGTATTCATTACTCATCTTTTGGAGAACGCTTTCTTGTCTTAATTGAAATGAGCATGTTGAATCCTAATTTCAGAATGCTTTTTTTTTTCCGATATTTATTAAAAGCCATAGTAAAAACTGTTTTTTAATTTTTTTTTAGAGCATCATTTTATGATGGTTTCCGATATTTATGGAATCATTAGATAAAATTAATACTCGCATATAGACATGAAAATTTTGAATATTTTTGGAATTATAAAAAATTTTAACTGTTATTTACAATATACGTTTTCATTAGGAACAGTGTAATTATTTTCTCAAACTGCCAGCACACAATAAGATTTCTTTGAAAATGAGTTAATCACATAAAGTTCCTTCCCTGTAAGGAAGAAACATAAATTAGTTACTTTAAATGCTACAATTATTTCATTTCTAGCTTGAATTTTAGCATATATCCTGCAGATATCATTTTAGCTTCATCATCAATCATTTATTCGTATGGCATTCATAAAAATACTGGAATAGATGCTAAATTTCTGACTTTTTATAATCCGTCTAGTAAAAATCATCAAAAAACTTATCCTTGCGGATTATTGTGGAAAATGTACTTAAAAGTCTTAATGGACTTTTTCACAAAGTAATTGCTACATTGCCTTTCAGCTGGCATTCTTAATCGTTCGCATCAACAATTTCATTTCATTTATATATAACTGCTAAATAAAAACAATAATTTTGAAACAAAAATCACTCCATGTGTTGATCAATGTATCTTGTCTGTCCAACTTTCTCTCAATATCTTTCTCTTCGAGCTAAACAGTGAAAAAAAAAACGGTTTGTTTAGTGAAATGTGAGAAAGTTGTATTCAGTCAATTAGAAATGCATTTAAATCCTTGTGAAAATTGGATAAAAATTTTTGTACTAATATTTAATTAGTTTAATAAATACAGTTTTTTTGCCCATTGCAGGAAGGATAAAAAATAATAAGATTGAATAACAGTGAAACTATGGAAAGTTTAAACATATGTCGATAAGAATTACGAGCCAAAACTTTTAAAAGAAACTTAAATTGAAGCAATTAGAATCGAATTCAGAAAAGAAAGAATATCTGACCACCAATCAAGGATGCATGTAATTACTTCTTATAGTTGTGATGCTAGTTAATTAATGATAAGATTTTCTGAATGTAATACCGGTACACATCTAAAACAAACAGTTATTAATAACTTCCACAGTTAACACAATACTGTCACTGCTTTTACTTATACTTCTTCGTAGGAAAAAGTAACAGGTTGCTTCGGTAATTCTTCTGGTTTTCAACCATTCATTTCATAGAAATTCATTAGAATTCTTTTTCATATATTATTGGTAACACTCAAAATGAAATTTTATAAAGCATACCATAAGTCCTTTTCATTTAAAAGTCTCAAAACTCTGCCTTATACAAAAGTGTCAGATTTATTATAAAGCAATAAGCTCAATGAACGCATTATGCTTCACTCACCAACATAATCTGATACAAAGAACAAAATAAAATCTGAACTTGTAATTTCTAAGTACTTAAATTTAAAATATCAACTGTTTTTTTTTTTTTGACTCTTACCCATGATTTTCCATGGAACTTGATAAACTTAATTACTAAAGCTATCATAAATCCGATGATCATTAATGGTTTAAAGTAAATGCTAATTTTCTAAGATGCAAAAGGAAAACAGTTAAACATTATGAAGCAATTCTGAAAATTTATCCAATTGAATACAAAGTTTTCCATTCAGATTTTTATTGCAGTTAATGAATTCTTAACACAATAATAAATTAAATTAGTTGAGATCAACGTAATAATACAATAAAATTAATTGAAATCAATAAGCTAGAATAGGATAGTATTTTGGAATATTTTATGTAAGAAGTTATCAAGTTTCTCAAAAAATGATAATAATTTGGTAGAAATTACGGAATTTTGGTCTTCCATTTCTGTAACTTTTATGAAAAGTTGACTGTTTTGAGAATTTGCAAATAGTTCGATGGAATCCATTATTCATTCATGACAAGTATTTCACGACTTCAGTACGCTTCTCTGTAATGTTTCAACTACTGAAGTTTTTAAGGACAAGTCAATACTATATAAAAGGACCACTCGTACACGATCACTTATGTCTTGACGTTATTTCTTGAGTTAACAGCAACTACGACAAATTGAATTGCGTGATACTTTGTATATAAATTAAAATAAGGAAAATCGGTTTTATATGCAGTGACTTTGTAAAAAAGTGTCAAATTTATTTAAACCTCGGGTTTGTTACTATATACTGTAAACCATATCTTTATCACTATCTTAACTGTTCGAGTTTTATCTGCGCAATTCGATATTTAAACTTCTTATTATCTTTTCGTATTTTCTCAAAAAAAAAGTGAACCTTTTCTTTTTTGTAAAGGCAAAAAGTAGCTACTTATCAAGATAGTTATTTTCCTTCTGGACCTTGCTCTATGCTTTAAATCATCTTCAAAATTTTTAAAAATCACTTATTTTATTTCAAAATCTTCCATTTGCGCAGGGTCCAAAAGGTTGTTGTGAAAAAACGAATTTGTTAGATACTTTATTAATCCTGAAATTATATCCGTAAACAGAAAGAGACTTACCACGTGCTCTCATATTTATTTAGAAAGGGGCTAATCATATAAATTTTCCTTTTTATGTAAAAATTTTATTCTAAAGCTGAAAATGAATTTTGTAAATTCCAAATCAAAAATTTACCAATGTAAAACATGCGAACAACATTCAAAACAGATTCGCGAAGTGTAGGATTACGATGATAGTGAAGAAATAAATTGATAATCGAATTCAGTTTTGTTAAATGAAATAATACTTGCATTGCACTCTCACATTGTTTCCCTGCTTCAGTTGGATTCTCGTCTAGAATGCCTGTATATTGGCAATTGTTTCAGTATGAACTTCAACATATATAGGTAAATACCGATCTAATCACATTTACATATCATTTTGCTCAATCAACTCACCATAAATACCCATGGCTCGAGGCAAGGCGTCTAGAAAGAATGTCGCAAAACATGAAATTGCTAATGTCATTGTCATTCGTACTTGCGCTCTGTGCTGACGAGCTATCTAAAGAGTACATAGTTTCAATGAGTCCATAAGTTGTTCACAAAATGATCATTAATTACACTAAGTAGCAGTTTCAGTAAATGAATTTAAATATTAAATTACTTATTGAGTTGAATAAATGAATTTACAAAGTGACCATTTGGTGTTTGTTGAGCTCTATAACTTCCATATTCAGTTCAGGAAATTACTATAACCAGTTAAAAGCAAATGATATCAATTGATCTGCTTTATATTCAGAAACAAATATAATTGTCACTTGTTTGTGCATAATTTAACTTATCAAATATAACAGAGAAATCGCAGAAGGCAAACCTGTGAATTAGTTAAAATATGTGACATTTGTTTCCTTTGTATTTTAACGATGAAAATTGTAGGAATATAAAGGATGACGCTAAGCATACTTGATGCAGCGGTCAAATATTTAGAGAACATATAAAAGATAGGTGAAATGTAAACGTTCGTGCAAAGCATTGATATTTCAGCATACTCTGTAACGGATCGATGCCAAGCAAACATTGATAACAGTGCTGATAATACATATGGCTGAAACTATTCTTGACTTCAGTGACACTTATGATTACTGAGTTCTACAAAAAGAAGGTACAAAGTGAAAAACTGAATTGTACCAAAATATCTGAGTAAAAAATTTACTAATCCAATAGCGATATAAGAATATGTGGATCGCCATCTCATGTATTTGAGTGGAAAAATCACTGAGAGTATCCGGTCGCATGTTGTTGTTAATAGCATAAATGAAGTAGCGAAATCAGACCAACGCCATAACCAAGAGTGAGGCAATAACATACATTGGAGAAGATGAAACTTTTGATCTTTCGAATTCAAAAGTATTACCATTATACGATAAACACCGCCACAAAAGGTTGCAAATGCTAAAAGATTTAACTATTTTTGTGTAAAAGTAATTACAATTTTTACATTGCTCAACTTTATGATACCTCTTTATTTTTATATTTTCTTGCTCATTAATTAATGAATATTGTCATATAGATATATCACAACAAACGATTGCAGATATTACAAGATTTAACTTGTTTTGATTGAACGAAGTGATTCAGTTAGAAACCAGATTCAAATAATTTTTTCTTTGAATTTTTGAGTTTGAAACGAATTGAGTAGGAGTTGATCAAGTATTTTTATAAAGGAAAAGAAATGTTAAAGATGAAACGTTAGAGAAGAAAAACATGAGATAGAATGTGCCGTAGTCTTAAAGGTAATTTGAATTAAGAAATTCAGTAAATGGAATAGTTTCAGTTTCAATTATTTGGATGAATTTCAGTATTCATAATTTTCGATCATACTTCAACAGTAAAATGTATAAACCTTCAACAAAATCAGCAACAGACAGGGCGCAGACGATTTGCATTTCGTGGCGGTAACGCAAGTGGCTGTTTCGTAGTATGGCAGTTATTAGGATGATATTAGATATAGTGGAGCAAATACCAAATGGAATAAATGAGATGGCCTGCAGTATGTGTATATTTGTTTGTTCATTCTGCTTAATTTTACTTTTAAATTATTAATTAATCCTTTTGTAGTATCGTGAACCTTCTGAAATTGTTTGATTTAGAGAACAAAATTTTCACAAATGGATTGACTGACCTATCAGGTCAAAGAATTATCTCATTACTACATTGCTATTTTCTTCATAATTTCGCTTAACACATCAGAATTTGAACAGAATGTGGTTTTCGAAAGATTCTGTAAGAATATCAATTAATTAATTGATTAAATTTCTAAAAGTACAACTATCTCAACAAGAATTTGAAACGAAGTAATTTTTTTTTTTTGCTATTCACAAGATACCTTCTGAAATATACTCTGTAACACTATTGCTAACTTACCTTAAGTAGCTCATTTCGAAATTCAAAGCATTCATTAATATCTTGTACTATAAGTGATGACGAATTTGACATTGCAACTTCTATAATTAAGATAACACCTTTATGAAAGTTGAAAAAACAGAATTTAAAGTAGAACTCTACGATGACGTAAGGACTATCCTGGAATTTACGAATAGGAAATACAGAACTTCTCTTAAACAATAGCGTTTCCATGAGTTCCACAAAAATTTACCTCTCAATTAATTCCAACTTTAGTTTTGGAATTAAGCTTTTAAAATTAGACTTAACAAACTGGAGTTTTATCAGGTTGTTAAAATTGCTTGTAAAAGAAGTGCAGGAAAAATAAATTTCGCCTTCATTTTACAAAGAGAATATGCATCAATTTTCTGCTGATATTTTGTCACTTCGACTTCCATCATTCCTCAGAAAAGCGTAAATCCTTTCTCCCCCACCTTCGTTGGTAAGCTATATGACTTTGAACTCTTACCGCAGGAATACTACCCATAAGAAATTACTTCTGATTATTAGCCGATTAACTCAGATAAATGATTTGAAAGCCATAAGACATAACGCATCTATCTCATGCATTATCACAATATTTCATGTTTGTATGTTTGAAAGATAAACCTTCAAACTATCACCGAAATAGACAGATGTGTCCATTCCATTACTCGTAGTTCACCGGTTAACTTGCATACCCTTCTGAAGTGTTCACCTTTTTTTCTTATGTACTGGTGAAATTCGTGGAACACATTAGAACATTCATTTTTCCGGTAAATTTTAATAAACAAGTAAATGCACTGAGTAAAATTATTTGCATTAAACAGTAAGCTAGGGAAGCCATTATAAATTACACAGAAAATCATAGCTTTCAAAGGCAAAGAATTGGCAATATAATCGAGTCAGTTTAAACGTTTTTATGGATACTAATTTTTAACAAGGAAAAAATAAAACAGTAGGAAAATAAGATGTAAAAGAATACAATAAGAGATATAGAACTGAATTTTCTCACAGGGAAAGAAAGAAATGAAATATCAGTAAATATAAACGTGCGCAATCAACCAACTAATTATTGTTAGCAATTTTCTCAGAGTAAAAAAATATCAATCTTAAGAAGAAAAACAAAATAAAAGCATAAGATATAGAATAATAAGAGATGCAAAAGTTGTTCAGTTAGCTAAGTTAGTAAACTCTCGGGAACTAACTAAAACGTTATGACGATTTCATTTCTTACACATCAGAAAATGAACGGAAAGGGAGGGAAATCTTTTCATAATTATTGCGAGAATATATTCTTTAAATAAATGACGTCAGGACATGTCTTTGAATTTCCAACTTCAATCTTTCCTAATCATCGGACAGGACTATAATGTTCTTTTTCTCCTTTGTTTACAATAGTCACTCCCGACTACTATAAACAAGAAAGATATGTAAGGACTTTCATTTTTATATAATGAATTAAACCAAGGTTCAATTTTACGCTACTTTATAAAGTTGAAAAGGCTGCAGATCTTAAGTGTAGAAAGGGAAAATACTAATTAATCAATTCGCAGTATATGCACTTTGGTGATTACTGTAAAGTAGTGATGATTAGAGATTCAAACCCTTTCAAAATCAGTAAGCTGGAATAATTGCTTTCGAAAATTGAAGTTTAAGGCATTAAATATTTTTGAAAAAAATTTCCAGGTATTGAGAAAACGCGCATTTTATGAAGTTCAGAAGTGATCTAAAAGATTTTCCTGAAATATATTCAGAATAAAATATAATTTAACTATTAAAACAAAGGAATGTAAAAAAAACTGGAAAAATAAACGAAGCATAAATAATCATCTTCACTAAGCACCACCTAGAAGAATCATTCAGGATAAAGAAGGACTTTTACAAGATGAGTGGTAAATTTCCAGAAAAAGGTTGCTGAAAAACAAAGAATGTAAAAAGTGGGAGATGCGCAAAGGTCTACTAAGCATACATGAGCAAAAGAAATTTAAAAACGGAGAACTAATCTGATGCTAGAACTACAAGAATATCTTTAAACAAACTTTCTAAAAAAGTTCAAAGACTTTCTTCGACTTGTTTGACTTGCTATTTCGAAATACTACAAAACTATTAATCAAGAAGAAAAATCCTTGAAAAAAAAAAAAACGAATAATGAGAAACAAAATGAATACTATGTGTGATTAAAATGATAAATGCACTAAACCTAATTTTCTAGTTAAACTAATGATAAATTTTTGAGCTATCAGTTGTGAAAAGAAGTACACCTTATGCAGGGCAAATTCCAATCCTTACCTATGAATGATAGCACCGTCACAATTTATAAAAATAATTGGATTATAAAGGAAATTCAAAAGCAATACATCTTATATCTTGGAAACAGTGAAAATCTTCATCATAACAACCTATCTTTGCTAAACCAAAAAAAAAAAAAACATATTTTACAATATCCAAATGATGAAGTGGTTTGCTATGAAAGCATTAAATGAAGAGTTGAAAAGTCTGTTTGCCCCTCAACATATGCAGTCAGAGAAAATTAAAATTAAATCTGCATTTAAGATAACTTTCTTACAATGCATAAAATTGTTTGAAATGTATGAAACAATCAAAAATTCAGATAATTTATAAATGCACTTTAAAGAACATTTCAGTGAATTGATTTCCTTTTTGAAAAAGATATTTGAAAAGGATTTTTTTTTTTGAAAATTCCCTTCTAATAATAGGTTAAAAAGTATAAAATAGTGAAATTTAATTTCATTTTTCACAAACATGGGCTACATCAGGACTATTAATGCAAGCCCTAAAAACAAAATTTCATCTATTTCTGTATTTTTCTTTCAATTACAATACCAACCAATGAACCATATTTCACTGCTATCAAGATTGTTAATCTCGTATCAATCAGGTAAAATGATAAGACAACTGCTGATGAATTGAACAAACCACTTTCTCTAATTTTTTCCAAGCCGGAAAATCTTTTTCAAATTGCTTTCCTTTCTCGAGGCAGATGTTGTTGAACCGCTAAAACAGAAAAAGTATGATTTCAACAAAATAAAATCGATCCAGTAATTTACATTCTCGTAAAGCACTTTAGAGATTTCTTGAATTATACTTCGAAAAGCAGAAAAAGTTTGAAAGAAAAGTTCAGTCAAGTTCATATTCATTATGATGCACAGTAATGAGTTTTAAGAAATTTCCTAATAAATTATAAAAACATTTCTTGAAGAAATATAAAAAAATCATATAAAATAATCATAAAAAAAAAATATTCTACGGACGTCGAATCCATTAGAACTTGGACTTGTTTTGCAACTGATAAATTGGGTGTTAATGGTACTGTGAAACTACTTTGATCAGTTGAATTCAACCGTGCCGAAAATACGCCAGACGATGTTAATGTCTTGTGCAATCCACCTGCAGTGTTAAAGCATATCATCTAATTTGGAGCGAATTATCGAGGATGCAAATTCATGCTTTCAAATTCAGTGAAATGAACGTAATACCGGCAACATATCGGTCAGATTGCAAATCAACATGTGGATTTAGAACTTCTGCTTCATTACTTCGACGGCGCATATCGAGATAAACAAGTAATGACGACAATTCCAATTCCTCGCTGTATTGATTACGAAGTGGTACGGATCGAAAACCTAAAAGAAAATAAAAATTAGCAGACAAATGAACTACAATATCAAGAGTTTCTAGTCCAAGTACCATATAACTAAATTTGCTCAAAGCCAAAAACTTATATTCGTAGTTTATTATACCTTAAGCTCCTCAAGAAATGTAGTGAATGACAATTTATATTTGAATGAAATGAAAAACATACCAGTGCGAATGCAGTCAAGTGGATACACAGCTTGTCCAATAAATGGATCCATCTTAGGTCCCATAAAATCGCCATCTTCAACATACAAGCGAAGTAAAGCTATTTCTGGACAGTACACTTTGAAGATGAATTTCTCATTCCAAACAGGATTCAAGCCATTGGAAGCTGAACTTAAATTCAAGATTGAATTTGAATTCTGATCTATCAATAAAACCGTTTAAATTTTATAATCTTTCGCCACAAATCTCGCCAAAAAACGAACCAATAGCTCGTGTTCGAACACTAGTTGAATCAGCCGGCAAACCCACAACTTCTACAGTAACAGTAGGAGAACAGATACCTCGATTTCTATCTTTCCTTGACAAATGTTGTCCTCCTACTACCTAAATAACCTTCGAAAGTGATTCTTAATAATTCTAATTCCAAAGTAAATACCAAACTTGTTTATCACTATCAAGCGTTAAGTTTCGATTTTGAAAATTCAGTGGATTTTAAGAAGTTAATTAATACCAAAATTTTGAAATTAGGAAAAAACTCGCTTTCATAGAATTAGTTTCGGACTTCAATTCCAAAACAATGTATCTTCTAATTTTGAAATCTAAAATCTTTCCAATTGAACAGCGAATAAATGTTTACATGAACAGTGAGAATGATTGGACAGGAGGTAGATACAACTTCGGCAGCATCTGGAGAAAACATTTCATCGATCATATAAGACGGTTTCAATACATACCCACACTGACCATTCGCCATAAATTTGCCTTGATTAAGTTGCATCGACTAAAATTTTCATTCAGTTCCATCTATCAAAAGAACAACAATGAAACAAATTAAGCTATTAAAGTTTTTATTAAAAAAAGACAATACTTTACCGCTCCATATTATCTATTGTTTGAAAAATAAACCAACTTTCTTAAGAGACAAAAATTCATGCATAAAAAAAATCTATAAAATAGTGGAGATATGATACAAAATATACTACAAACTAAAATTGTACACAAAGAACAATCAGTCTCGACATAACTGTCTATAGCAAGAAAATTAAAACATTACGTGCCAAATGATTGGACTATAGAAACGAAATAATAAAAAAACACCTAACACCTTTCTCCATTTAAGTATGTTATAACAGAGTTGAACATTAACCCTGTCGCCAGTTTGGTAGTTCAATGCAACCATATGACATGCAGCATTCCACATTGGTACTGGATCATAATTTGCTGAAGTTACACGTGAACCTTGCGGATAA